ATGCTAAGTTTCCGCCTTTCCTCAACCCTCTCCTGTCTGAACCCGGGCGACAGTCTTACACAGCCACGCAAGACCTTTGCGGCATCAGGAAGTCCTCAACGTCAAATTCTTCTAGTATTGGGGCCTTTGATGTCCGGCGTATGTGCCTCACCGTCGGCTCTGCGGAGCCTCCACCCTCCTCCCGATATTTGCGTTTGGAAAGGCTACGAGAGGTGAGTCAGCTGATGAGGATCTCGTTGTCATGATGAAGCCTATTGATTTTCTCGTCGTGATTTTCGATGGCAAAGTTCTCTGTCGTCGTCTTCATCAGTGGCCAGGTTGCCCTTAAGGACCTCGACTTTGCGGTCTTTACATTCCTCATCGCGTGCTTGCTAAATATCCATGGAGCCGTCCCACCAGGCCATCTCTAGAGCTAAGCACTTCTCACACTCAATCTCAAACTTCTTATAAATGGCTCACTCTATAGCCACGGTATTTTCAGGACGAATTCCTTAGTTACAATGCTTGGCTGAGCTGCTCTGACTTCAAGTATGTTGTCCCTGACTTGTTATAGCTATCGTAAGAAGGTGCGGAAAGAGAATCCTGTAGGCTTGATAATTGAGGGACTTGTCGAATGTCGACGTCGCTCGTGTTCGACAAATGTTAGTGTTCTCTGGTAGAAAGGCGGCTGAACGCCGACGCTTTATATCTCCTTTAGGCGTAGGTATCATCAGTGGGGGGATGTGCCAAGTCATGAGATAAAGTATAGGCTACGACTAATGTCGTCAAGTCATTGACCGTCGGTTATATGCTGGAAATATCTTATGGCTGCAGGTTCTGCTTAACGATCTTGAATTGAGCGTCTTTGATGTGACATACTGACGAGTCTCCGGCATAATAGTTGGCAAGAATGCCAGATTCGGGTTCCGACTGGACAATGACCCACGGACAAGTCCCTATAACCGGATCGGCTGTAGACCTATCACATGGGAATCCCAAATGGGATCGACATTCTTATTCTTACCACTGTCGTCGGTCGCGTTTCGTATCGTGATCTTTCTCTCGCCAGTGTGTCAAGGGGGTCATGATCCATCATGACTGTTGTCGCCGGGCATGGTGTTGCGCCTAGTCTTTGCTTCCAGGTGAGAATGTTCAGGCGCTAGTCTTCTAAGATGATGGACATGCCCGTCGTGGCACCTCGTCATTGGAGACCAAGCCTTCTAATATTCTTGATCTGGGCTGCGATTGGGAGTAAGAAACTGTGTTTCGTTGAAGGTTAGATACGGCTGTGGCGATGCTGATTGTCAGAACCCTATTCATCTGGACTTGCGGTGCGGTGTGTTCTTCGCCCTACATGAGGTTGATGGCCCGAGTAAGCCTCGCCATGTCAGATTGAACGGTAAGGCCGGCGGCACAAGTCTCGGTTGCGACCTCCTTCGAAATGCTTCAGCTCGGAGTTCGGAGTTCTGTCATGAAACGAAATGTAAGCAAGGTTGGGTGAAGCATCCTACAAAAAACATAGATTTTGGGAAGCCACTGAAAAAACACGATTGACGGTGTAGGCAATGACCATTGAATGCTGGTGTTGCTTCTTACGCCAAGAGTGTGGGTGTCAGACCACCTTGCGGTGCAAGGCTAAGGGAATGCGCGCGGTGAGGCTACCGGCAAGTTTTTGCTTCTGTTGTTTGGTGATGTTTTTGGCAGGGTCTTGCCAAGCGGTGCCCAGTCTTCTAGGTCAGTCCCATGGTCGCGTGGTCATGCCAGATTGATGACATGGCAGCTAGTATTAAGAATGATCTGGCATCGGTCAATTGCACTTCTGTCAAAGAGTCCGACTTATATCGGTACCTCGTCGATGAGTTCGTCAGTCAACATCGTTTTGGCATGTCTGGAATGGTATACTCGGTGGCATTTGTATGAATGTCAAGATATCGAGTAATACAGCGCGGACAGAGAACTGCCGTTCTTCTGGGCTCTTTGCTGTTCCGTGAAAGAACAGCTCTCTGCTTTATAGTGTTCAGCAAGGGCAATTGTAGCTTTTGCATATATGGTGCTTGTCGGACAATTAACGGTAACAGGTGTAATGTCATCGCCGGCGCCGGTATTAGCAATAATGGTGGCATATAGCTCGAGTATTTACTCCAAACGATCAGTTATATTTTTAACGCTTCCTGCCTAATATGATTCTCCAGGCTAGCAGACGGTATAAACTTACAAAGGAATAGATTTAATACAGTTTCCTAGCGAACGAAGTCGAGAGTATAATAGTTGTTGTGTTGAAAAGTGTTGTGATTAAGAAACTACTTCCATAACTGAAACTAATTGGTGCCACTAAGTTGCGTTTAGTTTATCTTGTTAGCTTTAGACACGCGCTTAGCAGGTTACCCTGTACCTTGAATTCCGCCGCGAACATGGGAGCAGAATTCAAGCCTACGATTGAAATTGTAAATTGACAAATATATGAGAACAAAGGTACAAAGTTGACTCTCCATGTCGGTTATCATTGTAAGAGTTTTTATGTAATAATTTATACCGGATATAAATGTTTGATTTCAATCTCGAAACAATTATCAACACTGTCACAGACAAACTGGGTCGAGTATTTCTCAATTAGGTGGTTAATTCACTGGGCAATGATGAGAACCACTTATCTAAAGAGAAACTACCTTGCCCTCCACTTTATTCTACAGTTAGGAATGCGGTGGTGGCGGTTCAGCATAGGGATCTATCAGGATACAGATGCATGTATCTTTCCTGTCATATTTCCTTGCCAGGCGGCATCATTCTCCAGGAAACATTTGTAGTGTGGATTCACGATCCCGAGGAACTCATGACGTTACCTGGCCTTACGATAGACGCCTTTTTCTCAATCATCACCATGCACGACTCTACTACAGAATGATGAACGAGAACTGGCACATAACAGACGAATAACAGCATCGGCCAAATCTGACTTTAATGATGTCTTTACCGGTGTATCGACAGGGAAACAGTTTCACAGCAATATCGATGAGTTGAGCTCACAGAAGGTTACGGCAAAATTGCTTAAAAAGACATCACCACCCTTTTGGTCGAGTCTGATAAGCCTGTCGCCAGTACCGCTTTCAATTGCCCTCGCACAGAGCGACTGACATTATAAAAATCCTGCTGTGAATACTCCTTGACCATACTTAAAGCTGCGCGGCCCTCTCGACGACGGGAAAAAGGATCCATCGTTATTCAACTCCGAATGGCCGATCCCGCATTCCACTCTCCTGGGACCGACTGATTGACCGAGTCCAAGAGGAGACACTAGACCGCTTATGACAAATGCGCCACTAGCTTTGATGTTTTCGATGTGCATTATATTGGATGCGGTATCGATCAAGCTCGAGACACACTTAAAGAGTGTCTTGGCGTAAAACCCCCGATGAAAGCGGCATTTCCAGGAGCCCGACGAGCCTCAAGTGCATCTCAGCTTTGCAGATCAAGGGACGCGTTGTACTTATCAAGCCCATGTCAATATGGTAGCGTGGGAAGGAGTGCGAATAACAGTTGTAAAGCAAGAAGCGAACTCAGGACCAAGTCCGACCGACGAACGGCAAGTGGCGACAATATGGAAACTCAATGCACGACATTGGCCCACCAGACAGGATTTTCTCCTCGAAACTAATCGGCCTCTCAACGTACTGTTGCGGAAGATGATTGACTAGAATATTGACCTCGTCATCGAGAACTGATAAATACCACTTTAAAGGCTCCTCGAGAGACTTGAAGAATGTGCCGTGAATTTGTCTACGGGACAATCAAAGCGACGAGCCTGTGTGAAAGACAGCGCTTCAAGCATCGCAACCAGTTTATACCTCTAACAGTCATCCAATCGAATGTACTAGTTGTGAGGATCATGTTCCTCGCCCGTTAGCGGCACATCTACGCGTAGATGGACTTACCGCGAGCTCGGAAGTAATTGATCATATTGCTTATCCGAGTTCTAGAATACACCCTTGACTTCCTTACCTCTTTTGAAGCTCCCTTAAAAGCTTGTCTGGTATTGGTCTGAGTGGCATAATGGCATGCCTGGCTATGGTGGCAACCCAGGAAACTCCATGAAACAGCTAATTCATGGGCGATATTAAGCTATATATATTATTTCAAGACCTGGTTAGTTCAGTTCCGTCTTACTTGTCATTTTTAGAAGGCCGGTAGTGTGGAAACACTACGCCGTAGCCCACGTGGGAACTCTAATAATACAGTTATTTAGACCTTATATAAGTAGTTTCTCTGCATCTCGATAGTCATAGAAGTATGCTGTCCACTTCCCACACCTTCTTAATACGTCCTTGTATGCAAGTCTGGGTACCCAACTTTTATACACAGTAACAGATTATAAACTTCCCTCCTAATCATTTATCACGCCATCACGATATCTCTGCAATGTTTTGTAGGATTGGCTTGTTATTTAGACTTGATCTGTACGTTATTTAATATGGTAATTATATGTAAGCGCAATAGTAGTCTGAAGCCACAACGCCACTACTGCCACAACGCCATCACTGCCACAACGCCACAACTGCCACAACGCCATTACTGCCATAACGCCACTACTGCCATAACGCCACTACTGCCACAACGCCATTACTGCCACAACGCCGACACAGCCACAACACTAAAAAACCTAGCCACAACACCAAGACAAACTATCACCACCAGCACAACAAATATTACGAACCACCCAAGGACAATATCGATAATCTCTACCATCCACATACATTTTGAGACCTCAATATCATAGTCAACTTAATAGTGTGGAGTTTTACTCTCCAGATTTCGAGATAACGGAGATATAAAAATTTTAACGGTTATGTAGAAAATGAAACTTGCTCTAAACCTTCAAGGTTGAGCTGGATATATCTGTATACCATCTCAGAGTAACCCCTAGCTATGGGATTGATCGTAAGCCATAACAAAACTCCATGAGAAAAATAAAATAAAAAGTGGAAAAAGGACAACCTCAGAAAAACACCAAAGACCCATGCGTCCAGCTACTCCTTAACCATATCCAGCAAAACATCCATCTTCTCCCGCCCAAGAGCCCGAATTCCATCAACACCAAGTAAATGTGCCCGTAGTAGTAGTTTGTTTGCATCACGAACCTCAGTTTTGGCCTTGACCTCTGCAGCCAAACCAGCAAGATCAGCCTCCACACGCAAGATATCGTCCTCCTGACTGGTGATGCTGTTTTGGTGGTTGGTGATATGTTGTTTGGCCTCATCCAGCTCCAACCCAGCTGCTCTAACAGCGTCTCGAGATCGATTGATGTCGGCTAAAGCTCCAGCCTCAGCCGCAAGATGCCATTCGGGGATAGGCTTGGTTCGGTCTTTAGGGATAAGACGATACTTTGCGAGATAATGTTGGTATTCGTCCAGCTTCTCACTAGCTGCATCAAACTCAGCTTGTTTATCGGATACGACTATCCGAAGAGGGGAGAGGTCTTTGTTGCGGAGGAGCTGAAGTTGGAGATTCATGGCCGTGATGGTGTTTTGGTGAGCGGCGAGTATAGCCTCAGCTGCTTGGAGGGCCATGGTAGAGTCTCGAAGGTCTTTTTCGAGGCATAATGCCCATGCACGCTTTGCATCATCTCGAGATTGCGCCTATAACTTGTTAAGACACAAAAATGCATTTGAGTATGATACTTACCGTGGGTTCAGGCTGGCTAGGGGTCGACACAAACGGACTAGAACGAGGAGGCTGATCTTGTAGCTCGTCTTCATCTTCATCTTCAACCTCGTCCTCCTGGTGTGAGCGTCTCTTTGCCATAGATGCCATAGTCTGTTCTCTACTATGGTCTTTTCGCTTGCGGGAATTCTCTAATAGAACATATCAGTATAGAGGAATAGGATAGGGAGATAAACACCATGAACTTACCAATTGGAGGAGCAGCACCTTGCTAGGATGCATTTCCAGCCCGAGTGACTCTTTCAGAGACACGAGTCTTGCCCTTGATCCATGTTTTGGCGTCCTTTAGCGCCTCATTGTTGATATGGTCTTGGTGTTTGCGTTCGCACCAAGTTGCCAGCCATGCTACCAGCTCTGGACAAGTTGTACTGGCACCGTCTTTTGTGCAAATGTTGACCACGCTGTTCAAACTCTCCAAGACAGATTTACTCCAAGTACCAGGAGCGAGAGCACCAAGTAGGGCAACCGGCCAAAGATGAGATTTCTGGTATACACCAAGAGCGCTATTCGGAGCGGCATTGTAGATGGCGGCGGGGATAGGGTTCGACATGTTGGATCAGGAGAAAAGGCGGACGCGGATATGTTGTTGCTGCTATTCTTGGTGTGTCGAAAGATCGGACAGCGCTCGGACAGAAGAAGAAAAGACTCTCACAATGTGTAAACGTCGGGAATCCCTAAACGTTGGTGTAGTGACAAAAGGAAAGGATGGGAGCAGTGCAGTCGTTGATGGAATTGATGGAGATGAAAGGATCAAGTTCAGATTGGATCGAGCTCGAAGCGCGTCATGTTATGATGAAACGCGTGTTGCTATCGTCAGTGAGGGAAGGCTCAAGGCGAGCGCGTTCTATCCTTGGTGTTGTGTGCTGGTGATACTCCACGAATAACCTGTGACACTTGCACACTCAGGTACACTTTCAATCATGTACATATAGGGCTGTGGGATACACCATTATAATAGCCGAATTAAGACCTTTCTAATGGTATAGGTCTCGAATTAATTGACCTCTATTTGACAGTTTTCTTGCTGTGCTAGTTATGCACGCTTGTTCTGGGATCTCACGGGGACACTTTGTGATATTCCACGAGACTCGATTGGCAATACTCGACATTTAGAGAAAATGGCTACACCATTTTAGCCAGAAAATCAAGGGCTTTCTGACCGTCTTAGTCTCAAATTAATTGACCTCCATTTGATGATATTCTTGCCCTCCCAGTGTTATGCGCTTGTCACCCCACCAAGCCTGACGTCCGCCCCAAAGGATAATATTTCCACGCAATGCCATAATAGCCACAGTGGTCATACGATATCGTGAGCTATACCGTTACAATCAGAGAAGTCTGATCTACAATCGCGCATCAATCTCGAATTAATCGGCCTAGAGATACCAGTTTCGGAGTTTTTGGGTGTTGCATACCACTGTAGTCATCCACTGAATTTAACGCGCCCACTAGGCCGTGACCTTTCGCGCAGGATTATCGGCCACAATAGATGCAAAAGGACATGAAGTGGTGCATTTCGATAAGCGAATTAAGCGCTTTCTTTACGTATTGGTCTCGAATTATTTAAATAAGTTATGGTGGACTTCTTGCCCGCGGATCTTATGTGGTGGACTCTGGCGCTGCACTCAAGCTGTCGCTGGTAATCGCCTGTGACCTTCCGCACAAGATTATCTGCCACAACGGACATAGGATAGTATGACATATGTCAAGAAAACGAGTAAATTGAGAGCTCCAATCGCGCATTTGTCTCGAATTAATTGGACTAGATTTGTAGGTTTCCTGGCTTGTTGAATCCGGGTGGTGGGTTCTAGCATCAACACCCCAGTGAAGGGTGCGCTGCAACAGATTCTATCATCAAGGAAACCACCCACAACGGGCCTACACAAACCGCAACTATACCAATAAATCGAGCAAAATGAGGGCTTCAATCGCGCATCAACCCTGAATTATTTGGGCCAGGTTTGTAGATTTCCTTGCTTGTTGGATTTCGGGTGGTGGGTTCTAGCATCAAGACCCCGCTGAAGGGTGCGCTGCAACAGATTGTATCACAACTCGCCAGGAAACCATCCACAATGGGTCTACATGTTTCGCAACTATATCAATAAATCGAGAAAAATGAGAAGTTCAATCGCGCATTCACTCTGAATTATTTGGAACAGAAGTGGTAAGTGGATGCTTGCGATGAGCTGTTACGCTATGACCCCACTGAACGGGATAACAGTTCGTAACGTCCGACACAACAAAACTAGCCACAATGCTCGGATAAAAGTCTGACTGATAAAAGTAAATCGAGCAAAATGAGAGCTCTAATCGCGCATGATCCCCGAATTAATTGGACCAGAATTGGTAGTGTTCTTGCATGCGGACTTAGTGGGACGTCAGATCTACCGTAGTGGCGTCACAACTTGGTACAACATCAACGTTTTGCGCGCAAGAAAACCAGCAATAACAGACATATGAGAGTGCAACTGATGTTGGTATAATTGGTCAATTAAGGGCTTCCAACTGGTCATACTCTCGTGCAGATTGAGTAAGAATTGATGGATTCCTTGCTAATAATTGGTCTTGTCCATAGTGAACTGACCTCAACCAGGTTCCCCACCATGAAATAATGTCTTCGCGCAAGAAAACACGCAGCAGCCCACACAAAAGGGTATTTCCTATATCACTGTGATGACCCAATTGATCGCTTTCTAACGGGTCTTTTTCCGAATTATTTCATCAAGGTTTGACCGAGTTCCTGATGGGAGGTGTGATGTTGGTCTGCAATGCTGTCCACGTGATCTATCCAGACTTGCGTCGGATAATGCACTGCAAGACGATTGACCACAAACGTCACTAGGGACTGTAACCTGTATAAATCTCTTCGCCAAGTTGAGCGTTTTCCGTTCTTACCACCGCTGAACTATTTGACTGAGGTATGACGGATTTCTTGGTGGAAGGTATGGTATCTCCTCTGTGGTGGCTAGAGTCCAAGTTCCACGCCTACAGCCAATATTCCACAGTAAGGAAACTACCAACTTCGAAGATATAACCAAGCGAACTACCGTAACTGTGGGACAGTGTAGCGCTTTAATGGAATTAACTGGTGGGTTTATAAATTTGTTATTGTTGTAACCAAATTTGTCTGCCCTTCGTTATTCCGAGGATAGAAGAGGTCCTACCCTGCAGGACTCTACCTGTCTCACCAGTTTGGCGGTACACTGCTGCTGATGCTTGGTACCGACGATTGACTGTTAAGGGATTGTAAGTGCGCGCCTTCTCCCCGAGCCTTTGTAGTATTTAAACGTGGCTGGTGTTTGTTCTTGACCATGATAAACAAGCTTTACGATTATGAACTTTCACTTTCCTTTGTGTTTTAGCTGCCGTACCATCTGGCATTCTCTGCCAGTCTTGCTTACTCTGGCTATCTAGAAGGTTGTGTTATCTTGAGACTGGCAGTTGGTGTTAAAAAGGAAGGTATGTCTCGGATTCACTTAGAACTATAAGGATGCTGGAATGTAAGGGGCGGCAAGAAACCACGTCGACATATAGGTAGAGCGCGACATAAACTTTTATACCATTCCATAGCTGATTAAATATATGTATGGAGCTTTTTGTATGTTTATTCGCCTTTTTGGACTGACTCTGTTAACGTCCAAATTTGAAGCCCTCTCGGTCACCAGCCTGGCTGCACAACATGTGCACTGGGCGGTTAAGAAGAATTCAGCAATGGCCAGGAAAACGAATTAGAAGCATAGATATATATTAGTTAACGTCTGATACTATGTTCTGCATTTATTTCAAACACTTACGGTGTCTGGTAGTGCAGGCAAGTCAACCGCTCTAATTCAAGAAATCTGCACTACAATTACTTAAATGCTATTAGAGGTTCAAACTTAATAAGTAACTTCTAAGCGTAACCGCTTCGTTATATTCAAAACATTAGTAAAAGCTTAAAGTTTAGTACTGGCCATCCGTTTGCCGTATCACACTCAGTGGCATTACGCCGAAATACATATCCATCTAAGACTGCTATTAGAAGATTACTAGAGTTCGATAAGAAAGGAATACAGTTTAACAGTATCTATTAGCAATTTGAAATTAAAAAAGTGGGTAGAAACTTTTTTATTGCTTATATAACGTGTAAGAGTGGCTCTATTAATGTTGCCGTATTGTATTAATACTCTCCTTACTGGGTCGCTAAATAACTATATTTATTCCACACTTAAGGAGTCTGTTAATAAGTAACGTCTAAGATCCAGTACCTAAGAAAGCTAAGAGCTTTTAATTTATACCAGTAACGGAGAAAAGGGATGAATTAATAACTTTCTTACAGTTTGGGTTTAAGTGGTGGTGAGGCTGAAGCTGAAATAAGAGGCGACGAAATTCCACAGTTGAGAAAACTAGCAGTAATAAACATTTGAGAGGTAAAAAGATACTAAAATGCTGAGAATAATTAGACCTTTCATTAGGAATCAATTACCAATTAATTAGATAATGGTTGGTAATTTCCTTGCGTTTAGGAGTTCACTTAAGCTAGCGCTGCGAAAGCCGACGGTATAATCCAAAGGCAAGAAAATAAGCTATAACAGTTACCTCGGTGAATGAGAGACTTTATATCCTCTAGAAAAACGAGCAATTTCTTATGGTATCAATCATGGAGTATTAGGCCAGCCTTTAAAGCCTTTCTTGTTACTTAAGCATTTTATGGTGTTGTCGATCATGCCCTGCACCCGGCCGAATGGAAACAGATATCGCATAGGGGAAAGAGAGACACCATTCTGTTCAAGAAGATAAGCGCTTTCACGTAGTGCTACTAAAAAGCTCATTGGTCAAGGTCTGGTATTTGTCTTGCTGTTTGAACACTGGTAGTACGTGGACTTATCTCACTAGATGTCACGCGTATTGAAGATTCTTCTCTTTAACACTCTACGGGACATTTCACTAACACAATCCCGACTAGACAGCCTTTGCAGTAAGTACTGCGCTGCCATTTAGATTGCCTCCCAGCAGTTTCCAAAGGAAATGCGCGACATCAAGGCCAATATGTCACGGGCTCAACTTGTCAAGGACAAGAAGGTCTGGCTTCATTTGCCCTTTCTCGGGAAAGGACTGGCTGGGGTCGTCACCCCTTCCCGTGGTCAAAGTTTGCCCATAGAGCAGACAGTTCAAGACCCTGCAGAAATATAGAGAAAAAATGAGTTTTGGGTCGCGTGCAAGGAAGCCGACGAGGTACAGGCGTAAACCACACTTGGAGACAACTTTTCATTGCTGGGAAATCCTCCAGTTTGAAGCGGATATATCCTGCAGTGAGACGTGGTAACATGTAAATCGGCTATTCGATGGTATGTCTATGTGACCCCCCACGATAGCTTCAATTTAGATATATAATGGCATGTTCCTTATACTCTCCTTCGGATTCATGGTGAGAACACGCGCGAGTTACAAAGCAAAGAGGTTTTAGTGCCAGCCAGAACATGGGCCCTGCTGAGGACTGTCCTGTATCCACTCCGATACCTCGTTAAAACACTGCCGTGCCCGTTCCTTCTTCCCATTCTAACTACCATC